ACAAAGAGTTTGGGGAAGAGGTGATGTTTGACAATTTTCCGCTAAGTTTTTCTTCCATTAGAATCTTAGTTGCGAGAACATTTCAATCAGACTTCCCCTCTATAAAAACCACAACATGCTGTCTTACAGGAAAAATGTTAATCTTCGCTATGAATACTATAAAACAATAAATGTAAAAGAATGAATACTATACATTAATATATTTAAGTCTTTTTACCTTTTGCTGAGGCCACTCCAAAACATACAGCGCTTCTCTGCTGTCGAAACCTGAAAATGGATTTTATCTTGTCAGAATAAATTTTAAAAAATGCACAGCAACGAATTGTCGTGTTACCTTTAGGTTTTTGAACTTTAGGATGACATTTTCTCGCAATGTCTCTGGCTTGGGGTCCATAGTTACGGCTATTATCCTGGAGTTGACATACCTATGAAGAAATTGTATTCGGATATGGATCAGAAACAAGGAAGAAAAATTACATACTTTTGGTAGATTCAAGCCAATTTTTCATGAAGGTGGAACGGCCAGAGACAAGCAGGGAGTCTTCCAACCTCAGTTAGGGTGTTTAGAAAGTTTCTAAATTCAGTTTAGCTGAACATAGATCTTATGTGTTTCCGTGTTATGAGTCTTTGGGGGTAAACGACATGGAGTAATAAGAAAATAACGTCACCTTTGGTTGTCTGTTTCACTCCTGATGGCTTGATCTGTCAGAAGTAGGTCATGCAGATCCTTGTACACAAACACAACTAGCAATGTTCCTTAAAACCCCCAAGAATCAACAAAAAAAGTAAATCACACAACAACATTTGCAAAAAAACCACAAAGTTGAAATTTTTACAGGCTCTGAGGTGTGTGAATGATTAAAAAAGATAGACTATGTAAACTAAGGAAGCCCATTTACCTGAGGCTTTATTTCAATTCAGAAATTTCGATTGGACAAAAACCAAAGTAATGCTAAAAGTTGTAAAGTTACCACAAACCATTTTCCTCAAAATTTGAAGAAGCGATATCGATTCTCGCTCGCCATTGTTGTTCCTCAAAGTGGACGCCACCTGCATTCTGGCGATAGGCTTTTTGAATGGCCAAAACTGTTGAAAAAAAATGACAAATGAAAGCACCTACGGTGAAATTCACAATAGCACATCTACACAAACATGCGTTTTGTGCTGTACACAAATATTTCATAATATTATTGGATGGACGTGTACTGTTTGTATCTTATTTGCCTTCAACGACTACTCGACGATTTTAAACATTTTACAACGTTTTTTTCAATGTAAAACTGATGAGAAAGCGAGTAGCACTAGACGGACTAAAAATGTTCAAAACTCAATTCGTTCCTGGAGAACTATAGAGGTCTTTAGGGAGTTTTTAAGAGTACGTTTAAAAATCTTGCATTTATATGCATCGCAGACGATCGGCCAACTTTGAGCTCAGTGTATAGTATGAAGTAAGCGGAGAGTATTTGTAGGATTTGACAGTTTCAGTTAGTAAAGTGTTACTCACCAATCTGTTATTCAAGAAAAGTTTCAATAAACAGAGCAAGACTAAGGGTTTTACAATTTTGAAGGATTCTTTTTTTCTCTACTTTTATTACCTTCTCCATCGCGGAAAATCAAAGTATCAAACAAATTAAAATAACAGATGAAGCAATGACATCAACAATAACGTTTCTAAATAGTTGGGTTCTACCTGAGTTCTTCCAATATCTAGGAAATTAGACAACCCAGTCGGCCAGTCAGCAAGTCAGTAAGTAACAGAGGAATAGACTTTGGAAATAAACAGGATTCAAGGCCGCAAGCTCACC